CATGCTGGCTGGGGAATTCTGGGAGTTGAAGTTCACCCATCTTAAAGTTGCCAAGACTGAAAAACACTGCTAACCAAATGAATCAGTAAATCGTAGAGCCAGGATGTTTGCAAATAATCTTTTGATGAAACTCACCAGGGGAAATACACTGGTTATTTATCTCTGTAGGCTTCCGTGCTGCAGAATATCCGAACGGCAATGAGGCGGCAAATGAGGCGGCATTCCTCAAGGCGCAACTCCTCCCGCCGACGTTTGGGCAGGCTCTGGAACAGATTCTTTCACAGGCCGCGAGCAAGAGGTCAGGTCCCGCTCTTGCACCCCACGCGCACTTCCCAGACGGTTCTGGGGGACGGGATCCTCAACTGCACAGACGCGCCTGCCCAGTGTCTCCCCGCTTCTCCTGAAGGGGCTTGCAGCCCAGGTGGAGGGGTTTCCGAATCTGGAAATAGCCCCTTGGCACTGGAGGCAGAAGTCCCGGAAGACCCATCCACAGCGGATTTGTCAAGTCCTTGCCCGGCTGCTCTGCCAGACTCTGAGAGTGAACACAGCTGCAAGGCCGAAGACACCTCGGATGGCAGAGTTGCCCAACCCAGCAAGGCAGATTCAGGAAGAACATTTAGGGACCCTTTGCTGGAAAGGGTGACAGAAATTCACCCACCGGGCAGGATGGTGTGCAGCAGGACAGCTGGAGAGGGCAGACTTTCCCAGCGGAATCACCTGCTGAGCGAAGAGCTGCATCATCGATTCCCCTTGAAAAACTGGGAGTCTGGGTACTCTGAAAGCTGTGGAAACATCCCCCTCCGGGGGGGAAACCAACCTAGTGGTGACCCGCATTCATGTCACGAAGAACCTTTTGGCATTCACCCCACTTGTTGCCATTCCATGGAAGTGCCAATAGCAGCCTCCCCTCTCCCCCTTCCCGAAATCAGTCCCAATGACGATGAGTCTTTACTGGTGTGCTAAAGGGTCATATTCACAGGTAGAAACCCACAACGACCTCGCGTGCACCATGACATCACCAGGCAAATGGCGCAGGTCCCATAATCCGCATCGTTTGTGCAATGACACCATGGTGCACGCCACGTCACTTGCTCCACCATGTGCATGCCATGGTAGTACACCCCACCCTTTGCCCACACGCCCACCTCTCCTTCGTCTCTTTCTTTATGGCATGTTGGTCTTCACAAGAGTAGCTTATAGGCAGCCAGGGAGGAAGTGTGTTCATAGCCTCTTTCTCTTTTGTCCTCTTTCAGTTACCTAATGTGCTGTGATAGATAGAAGACACCATGGTTGGCTGGCTCTAGAGAGTAAGGAAGATGACCTTGACAGAGGTAGACAAGATCTGTTACCAAAGCAACGAGAGGAGAAAAACAAGCAGAAAGAATGCAGAAATGACTCATACACCTCCCTAATTCCCATGGGTATAAGAAGGGGAGGAGGCAGAGCACAATCAGACTTGCAAGATTCCATTATTATAGCCAATCTCAATAAAAGTAGTTTTAGCCTTCCCGTGGAGTTGATTCCTGGTCTGGTCTGATGAGGCTGACACTGGCTGGCTGGTTTCACATGTTGTCCAAAAGCTGTAAGATCATTGCTTCGGTTTTGATGTAGTGTCTTGTGTGAACCTAGCCAGCTGTGGTTTATTCAATAGACTATGCTTAACTTATGGCGGAAGAAGGTCACCCATAGGGATTAGAGCTGGAAACTTGAGAACCCCACCAGGTCCCTCTTGATCATTTTGCTTTGCATTTGTGGCTGAGGAGTGGATATGCTCAAAGTTTACCAAGGTTGTCCTTTGGCACTTGGTTGCTTGTGTGTAGGGCTAGGTGTGATACCCTTGAATAGGTAAGTGTATTGATGGGTAAAGATAAGTCACACATGGCCCACACTGGCATGTTTTCTTCCTGTTGAGAAAGATCACTCAATAGTTAAGTCTGCCTTCTTTCTAGAACGTAAGAACATAACCAGTGTCCTGCTGGATTGGACCCCTGGGCCATCTAGGCAAGCAGTCTGTTGTCACAGTGGCCAGTCAACTGCCCAGGGAAACCCATTAGTCTCCCAGCAGATGGCCTTCAGAAGTAGTCCCACTGCCATCAAGGCTAATAGCTGTTGATCCCCATCACTTCCATGAATTGGTCCAACCCTTTTTTGAAGTCACCCAAGCTGGTAGCCAACACTACATCTTCTGACACTTGCTGTAGTTCTTCCATGGTTTTATTATCAGGGGGACTTTCTTGTCCCTCGACTTCCCAATCTGCACATGTTCTCCAGGGAAAGAAGTAGCCCAGAGTGATTCCCTCCACAGGTTCACAGAAGCAACCCTGACCTAACATAGTCCATCTGTCTTTGACCCCTGCATAGGTGGGCGCAAGTCAGAGAGGGAAGCCACTGCTATGGATAAACCCTTCTCCATTCTGTTTTGTTTGTATCTGTAAAATTTGTTCCCTCTGCTTCTAGAAATGACAAGTGAGCCTTTCTGCTTCCCATTCAGAAGCTGTAGGAGACATGGCTGGCTGACAGAGCTAGCCCTGGGCCCACGTTATTACTGTAACTGCTTAAGTGAAAAAAATCCAATTATTGCCAATTTAGAATATTGGTTTAAATTAAAGCTATATTTACCCTGCCCTGGATAAAATGTTTGACGGGAAACCAAGCCCTTGGAGCTGCACGTCTTTTCTTTCCTTAGGAAAATAATAATAATAAAGCTACACCCACTATTTGTTTGTTCCTTTCATGATAAAAGTCAAGAAATGCCCAGGACTGTCAAAGGTTCTGTCTGGTACATAAAGAGAAGAATATTGGGGTTTTTTTTCTAGCGGCTAGGCCACTGTAATAACAAGCCAAATTTTTGAGATAATGGGTTGGATCAAAGCTCACATTAACAATTTTAATGTTGGGTATGTTGCATCAGTTTTTCAAGGGTTGCTGTTTAATCTTGTATCTTGCATCTCCTTTCTTCCCTGTTCGTTTTTTGAGAAGATGCCAGCATTAGAAGGTTGGGGTATTCTAGGAAGTTTGGGCAGATTGTCACTTTGACAATCTCTGGTTTTCCAGTTGAGTTCTGTGAACTGTCCTCAGAAGTTTTCTGGTGTTCATTAGAGTAACTCAGCAATTGCAAGGGGTGCATGTCTTTAAATAAAGGCCAAACTCAAATGATGTTGGCTATATAAATAAGGTTGTGTTAACCCTAAATGCGTGTGCTCTCTCTGACTCTTGGTGCACTAATGGATGGGGTTGTAAACTCTCACTTCTGCCTTTCAATGCAAGGTACCAAATTGGAGGATTCAGAGCCGTGTGCTGTGTGTGAAACCCTTGGATGCCATCTCCAGAGATCTTCAAAAGTAATTCTGAATGTGATAGATGGAGAAAATACTTAAATACACAAAGGAGAGAAGGGTTTAGCAATCTTTTCAGATGCTGGATATATCGTACAATTTTGCAGGATGGTGTGGGTATATCATGCGATGATGGTGGTGATGAAAACTTTTTTAAAATCGCCAGAAGCTGGCAAGAGGACAAACTGTGGGATTTTGATGTTCTCACCTGAAACCTCATAAGGTTTTATTTTTAAGTAAGATTTAAAAAAAAAATTGTTTGAGGAGCCCTCTGGACACCACGTGAGAGTGTTGTGGGAGTTTAAAATCCCATCACTGCTGAAAAGTAATCATATTAACTATATTATAGTTTTAATGTTAATAGAATAAAATCAAATTTGGCTTTATTTCTTGCCCTTCCTTACTGTTTTGGGGAGTGTGGTCCCCCAGCACACAATTCAAAGGTCAAATGTGGCCCCTGAGTCAGAAAAACCCGTGCACTTGTTTTAAGCAACCCACAAATCTGTGTCACATCCATAACCAGACAATGTTTTCTCCAAATTCTGCTTAGTGAACACAGGCATTTGAAACCAGCTTGACCTTGGCTTGATCTCAGTTTGAATAAACCACAGTTTCCCATGCCATAAGGGGCGGGTTAATTTAAAATAAAAAGGGGATGGTTCTGATTGGGACATGAAAGAGAAAATGGAGCAAAACAGCATGATCTTTTTCATGCTTGTTTCTCTTAAACTGAACTGGGCCAAGATATCCAAAGCGATAATAGGTACTCTAGATTCCTTTGGTTAATACATTTTTCCATAAAATAATCCTATGTGAATTAATGTGGTACCCTTGAATTTGCTACAGAGTTCTTTTCCTAAGAATTCCACGGTCAGCTTAACATTGAACGGGTTCACGAAGTAGAAACGTTAGGGAAACTGCCAAGGTAAATTAAACGTCAGGCCTTCAGGCAAACTCAAACATGGTTGCTGGATTTGACCACAACCACAACCTGTTGCTCTTCTTCCTCTCCTTTTCCTTCTTATGACTGGTATTTGTTGAAATTAACTTCCCTTATCTTGAAAACCAGCTTTGTGTCGTGTGGATTGATGCCTTTGCTTTCTTTAAAAGCAGAAATACTGATTTTATTTTATTTTTTTAAGCAAAGAAAATACTGTGACTGTCTAATATACTGGTGTAGACTTTCATGGCTGGTATCTGTTGGGCAGTATTGAGCTTCTGGGTTTAGTGACTGTGGTCTAGAGAACATTTCCTGACGTTTCACCAGCAACTGTGGCTGACATCTTCAGAGCGCCACCTTGCCCCTGAAGATGCCAACCACAAATTTGACTTAAGGGCAGACCTTGGGAATGGAACTCGTTCTTTAATTGGGAACTGCCTGCATTTAATTTCCTCCCCCCGCCCCCCATGCTATTGGCTCCTTGATTTGCCTCTGATGTAGTCTTCAGTGTGATTTGAACAGTGGATTGCACTTGATGTGACATCTCAGAGCTGCTCATTGCTTTTAACAATGCCAGCAGAGGTCTCTCTGGCATTGTGTCACCTAGTAATATCATTTCAGGCAGTGAGGTTCAGTGGTTCTTTTAAATAGTGAACTCCCAACTGTGTGTAAAATTGGCTTAAGACAGGTCCTAAGAAATGAGATATTCAGCATACCTGGAAAATCTTTGTTTGCAGATTTTTTTTAAAAAAAAGCACAAAAAGAAATCCTGGTGGATTAAATGTTCTTCATTCATTTTAGAATGCTTTTGCTGGGGAAAAAATAAAGTTAGGAAGTGTGTTAGAGGAGGCGAAATGGAGGAGACTGGAGGAGGCAGAATTGGCTGGCATTCTCTTTTCATTTTAGGAAGGCACTAATTTTTCCTTTTTCTTTTTTTGGCACAGCTAAAGGGTGCACTACAGCCAACAATGCACAACATGATGTCATGCGATAAGAACTAGTTCATTTTTTAAAATGGGGCACTACATCCTTTCTGATAGCTTCCACACACCATTTTGGACTTGCATTTTTAGGGGGAAATTACAACACTCATTAATTTTGGGTAGTACAATTACTAGGAATCCTGGAGGCCACAAAGAAGCACAGTAAGATGACCTGCAATGAAGTTTCACCCGTTTCGTTTGTTGCAGATCCCATTTGTTTATTTCATTTGGAAAGCCGAGGATTCAGAACATTCAGCGGCAACTACCTGTTTATAACTGGGCTGCCTCAGTCTCTTTCTTTTTTTCCCAGTGAGCATCACAGGACAAGTTTTCCTAGTTTTTGTTTTAATATTAAAAGCCTGGCTCTTGCAGAATTCTTGTTTGTACTTAATCTGGCTCAGAACTATCTGCAGACTTGCTGTGCAGTTAAAAAAGAAACCTGCGATGCCACGAGGTGTATAAATTACTGACATGACTTTAGTTCATGGGTTTTCTCTTGTCTTGTATATGATCTCCTCTGTAAATATATTTTAATCCAAAGCTATATAGACCCGCATGTAGAAGAATGCAGAGATAACCTTGGTGAAAGAATGCAAGAACCCTTAAGGGAAAAGAATAAACAGCTCAGTCCTGGGAAAGTGGAAGGGGTGAGAAAGAGACTCAAAATAACTCCACTTTGATTCTCTTTGGTATAAGAGGGGACAGAGGGAAACTGGCAGCCTTTCAAGATTCAGTTATTATACCCATCAATGGGGTTCCTCAACCTTGGTGACTTGAAGATGTGTGGACTTCAACTCCCAGAATTCCCCAGCCAGCCTTATTCCACACATCTTCAAGTCGCCAAGGTTGAGGAATCCTGCCCCACAACTATAAAATAGCATTCCTGGAACCCTTGCAATGTCTGTTTCCTGACCTGGCATGCTTCAAAGGGCTGACTCCAGGTAAAACATGTTCTCCCCTCGGTCCCTAGCATTCTAAGTCCAGTATAAAAGCTCTACATTCATCTCTATTTTGCAGTATTTAAAAATACCCTGGGTATTAGTATCTCTGTTTACAAATACCCTTAAGATTCAGAGCTTCAATATGTAAAAAGATTTCTGGCACCATGTAGACACAGTTCCTGAATTCATCTTCAGATTGATTTTCTTAATACACATTAACAAAATTATACAAATCCTATCTCTATGCATTTATATTCAGCTTCAGAGGTTAAGCTTCAGGTGGCAAGGTATGTGGGTGTTTCCAGATGATCAGTTTTGTCACAAGTAGTAGAAATCCATCTCAAGGAGGTTTTGCTTGCTACGTTGGTCTCCTTCCAAAGCCTAGCAGTTTCAATATTACTATTCTGCCTCTTCCAAGAAGCTCTTGGAGAATTCAGATAACCAAATCTTGACTTGAGAATGCAGCTTCTTCACTCTTCTTTTTTGTACAGTCAAAATGACTGGGAATTCTTCTATTAATAAGGTCTTCTCATAGGAATCAGGAACCACATTTAATAGCTTTGGAATAAGTCAGACCTGAAATCATGTTTTGAAGTTGCTTGATTCAAGAGAGCAAAATGATGCAGCCTCTTTGGGGTCCAGAACATCCCTTGTTGGGGGAGAAGGGATGAGGCCTAATGTTAGATCTGCTGATGACTCAGTCTACCCTTAAAGTTCCTGAGCCCCTCTCCCAAACTGGCCCTGGGTCCCTTTGCTTTTAAAGAGCTGCCCTCAATTCTGATGCAGCCTTGAGGTGAGTAAACTTGTGCACCCCAGTTGAGTGTTTTGCTACAACCCCAAATGCATATTTCTTGCTTTAGACATAATTGGCAAAGTGATTAAACAGATTTAATTGCAGCATGAAAGTGGAAGGGCTTATGTGTATCCTGGCTGATAGGACTTGTTCTGGGGCAGCATGACAAGGCCCTTCCATGAACATCTCAGTTACCAGTTGCTTTGCTGTGAGCTTTATGAATGTCAGGGTGAATTTCTTAGATAAAACTGGTTCCCTTGCTTGGGTGATTGCAGGATCAAATAATAAACCAGAATGGGGGAATGCATAATGACTAATCAAGCATTGCGAATAAAACTGTCATATCTAGGGTACCTTTTTTTCCAATGGCATCCGCTCATTTTGTTGGCAATTGTTGGCTGGGTCCACACAGTGCAATGTACCATGAACTAACCAAGCTTCATATATGTAAATGTAGAAACCAGGTCTAAAGCCTGGTGACATATTTCTGAACTGAGCCATTGCAAGTTGCTTAATTAAAGGATGGATGGTCTAGCTGTTGTTCTGGAGGTGCAAAGACAAATTCCAGTTTTAAGGTGAGAGATACAGCAACAAGCATAGAGCAGTCGACCAACCAGTACAATTATATGCATGGCAATACTAGCAACATTGTAACACCTTGTGTAACATTGTAAGATTGAGCCAAAGTGATAGGGAGATATAGACTTGATTGTCCTTCTGACTGAGGATGGGCACCACCTTTGTTCTCACTTGCCCAACTAGAGACATTTTACATTACCAGTCTAACCAGCCTTTCCAGACTGGAAGCTTTCTGGATATTCCTAGAATTCTCAACTTGCACAGGTATTCTGGGGAGTTTCAGCCCCAACACATTTGGAAGATGTTAAGTTTGAAGACAGCTATCCTTTGCAGCATCTAGGAGGGATTGGAACATGGCTGCTCCTCAGTTGATTGGACCATCGATGCTTGTATGCTGCTGATACCTAGGGGTGAATCAGTTAACCAGGGTAGTCACTAATTTTGGTCAACCGTGCTGTATAAACACTGCTAGAGGGAACCCATGGATGGGTCCAACCGATTACAAACTTCCTCTTATTTTTTGCAGAAGGAAATGCTTCGTGGAAATGGTGGAGGTTTCCATTTGGTGAACATGCCTTGTCTGCCATGAAAATTAGGGACATTTGCTTCAAACCACCAAGATCTCCACCACCCTATGAAAGACAACCCATTTAATACCATGCCAAGATGATGTTATGAGCAAAAATTCTTAGTGGGGTAGACCCAGGCTAACTTAATTGCACTTAATTCCCATGGGACTTAAACAATGATTAAGCGTTCTCCTGATTTTGGTGGAATCCTAAAATTCAACTCAGTCTAACTCCAACATATTGTGGCAGTATAGCCATCTTAGACAAATCTCATCATTTCATAGCATTGTGATCCCTTAAATATGTATTCTTTTTTCAAAGAAGAGACAGAACAAGAGGTACCTAGAGAGAGGTCCTCCTTTTGAAACTTTGCAGAAACGTTACAGCAGACTTTTATGACTATTGTAGCAGGTGATTGCTAGCAGTGTTTTTCATACCTGGGGGTCTCAACTTGTATGTAAAATGCATCTTACATGAAAAACAACCAACTAGCTCATTTTACTTTATTTTCCTTCTTTTTTTTTTTTCCAGGAAAAAAAGCTAAGCACTTTCAGGCGTCTCCTAGAATTGTCAAAATGATGGTCCTCATTGTGTACATTTTACTATTGGATTTCTTAAAATATCCAAAAAACAAATCAAGATTCTTTCCTCCCCCCAGCAAAAAAAAAAAAAAAAAAAAAAAAAGCCATAATGTAAACAAAATCTACTTATTC